AAGAAATAGGAACCATAGTTCATTCAAACCACACGTGTGCTGAAAAATCAACGTCTAACTGCGGATGTGGACTTAGGCTTGTGTGAATCAAAGATCACAATGATCCTCTCCTCTGTGTCCTCCCGATTCACTCTCACACCCCACCTCCCAGCTTGTCCCCTCATCCGTGCCTGTCCCCCCCTCTGCCCTATGGATCAAACCTGAGTTGTCGACGTCCCATTGACCACACCACGGTCTCCTGAAATTGGGTGGTGTGTGATTAATCATTATACTAGAAATCAGCTTTGGACACCAAGGTCTTGAACTTTTGCATCCTCACGTCGGTTCTGTGCTATCGCCCCTCCGTCTGGAACGCTCCTCTATATCCCTTTGCACATCCGCAGCATCAAATGCACTCTGACTTTCAAGAAACATCTCAAGGCCTCCTCTATCTCTGTCTGGGTCCAGGGCTTTCCAGCAGCCCTCTGAGCTTGGCTCTGCGCCTCTCAGTTGTTGACTTGTCAGCAAAAAAAATCTGGCGCATTATAAATGTAATTATTATACAGGGTGATCCTTTTGTAGACACCTCACTGATTTAATGCGGTGTTTATGTTCATATATATCCGCCTGTAAAATTATTGGAGATGGAACGGAATCATTCGCAAGGGACTATCGTTTCAAGAAGAGAGATAATTTTGGGAAAGTGTTGGCTCCATATCTTACGGAGGATAATAAGATGTGATGTAATACATGTATATTGAGATTTCAGGGAGATACGGAAGCTTTCAAACGAAGTTGCGTTCTCAATAATGTATCCTTATTTTAGTGGGCTATCTATAAACCAATCACCCTGCATATAGAGCGTGATTAGTATTGTATTTCAATGTTTTAGTTTATAAGGCTGTGCATTACATATTCTGTAATTTATATCCCTTACAGATAGAGAAAATCAGTCTATCCTCATCACGTAAGTCGTTTAACATTTTTTTACACCAACGATTCCTATAAAAAGTGAAAAAAACCCGGCACATTCATTAGTAACTATGCCTTAAAATGATGTTTTTTTCTACAGATAAATAACAGCCACCATCCCAGGCAAATGGGTCCTTCTTGATGGGCCGTGCGTTGTTTTGTTTTTGCTGTTTGTCCATTGTGCACCATTGCCAATGGCAGTCACCAAATAATTTGGTTACATTCCATCAACAGGAAGCACTTCGCCCAGCGCATCCTGGGGGTGTTATGACACCCGGCGCCGTCTCTAGGAAACATGTAATTTCGCCGGGGCACTATGAATGCAGCTTCAGATCCACAGTGACCGTTTTTTCTTTGGTATCTGCCGTACCCAGCGGAGAATCCGGTGCTGGCAAGACTGTCAACACGAAGAGAGTCATCCAGTACTTCGCAACAATTGCGGCCCTGGGCGACGTCACCAAGAAGAAGGAGGAAAGCAAAAAGGTAGGTCTCTTTTTCAACGTTTTAATAGTAAAAAAATGCGACGTTTCAATTCCTGTTACAACGTTATTAGTTTTTTATTTAAAGCTTTCGTGACTGCAGTAATTCATATTCTTAGCTCTTTCGGTAAAGTCACGTTGAAGGGAAACAATAAAATATATATAAAACAATAAAATTCTCACGACGTTTCGACCATAACACAAACGGTCATCATCAGGTGTGAAAACCAACGGAGATAGCGAGAACACGTTCTAGTTTTTATAAGAATAATATATGATTTACACCTACTTTTTTGTACGATCAGGGTGCAGTGTGTGGAACTGGGCGGTGAGAAGGCTTACCTCTTCACTTGGTCAACGGCTCAATGTGGGCTTCCTATGGGTGTTACTGTGGGCATTGCCCCCTGCAAGTCACTTAAAACTCATCAGTTCACGTGATGATCTGCAGTGGTGGTGCTGGCCCATTAACGGGCCCAAAAAGGAAATATATGTTTTTGCGATTTCCCCAAATTCAATTTCATAAACGCCTAAGCGAAATTACAGAAGAAACATGGACAGGATATAAATGTGTAGCGAAATAAGAGAAATGCAGACAAAGACAGAAATGTAGCGAGATGAAAGAGATGTAGACCAGATAGAGATGAGTTTAGATGAATTCGCTTCCATGTGAATTTGATATTTTTAAATGTTTAATAAGGATCTGAATTCAAGCTGATGTTCGATACACCGCTATTCTTTCATGATACGCAGGGCCCCCTGCATCTGCTTCAGGCCCTAAGATGTTGCTTACTTTGCTTATTGTTAACACCGACGGTAATCTCTTTTTTCCCCCCAAAATCAATCGTGCTCATGGTTTTGCTTCACTCAACAGGGGACCCTTGAGGATCAAATCGTCGAGGCCAACCCTTTGATGGAAGCTTTTGGTAACGCCAAGACCGTGAGAAATGACAACTCGTCACGTTTTGTAAGTGAGACAACTCGTGTAGACTTTGTTGATTTTTCTTTTCCTTTTTACACGCAAAAGCCACGTATACGAGTGCCAATATCATGTCACTAAGCCGACGTTGTTCCCTCGCAGGGCAAGTTCATCAGAATCCACTTCGGTGCCACGGGAAAACTATCATCCGCAGATATTGAAACGTGTAAGTTAGAAAGCATGCACGTACACACAAACGTATTCTCTTATTTGTCAATTAAATGGGGTCGTCGTTTCATTTAGTTGGAGTGACGTGCTTCTATGTAAAGCGTAGCCTTTATATTCAGAGAATATAAAAAAATAGATATTTTTTAAAAAGTGGGGTTTATTATTTGATTACCTTCTCAAGACTCAAATAAATGGAAAAATTACTTTAAAAATGTGTAAAACCTGTTGCATGCATTGGTAGGGTAATTGCAATATTTTTTAAAATTTCTAAATACCAGCCATTCTGGGCACGGTTTGCTTGATTTTTATGAATAATTTGCTCCAATTAATCATTAAATAGTTAATTGCATATTAATAACAAGTGATGGCTGTGCTGAAAAGTACCATAGGTAATTAATATTATCTCTAATTTGAAGGTATTATTGTAAACATATTTCTAGGTAGTATTGACTGCGTACTCACTTACCATGGGCACATCACAATATCCTCTTGCTTGAATAGGCCTTTGTGTGTCCGTGTCTTAGCCAAATTAATCTTTAGTTGGAGAAAAACATGCATTATTGTATATTTGGTAAATATGCTTAACGTGCAAATATAATAAGAAAAGAGTTTAGTCGGTGTGTCCAATGAGATATATATTAAATATGTGGACAAAAGTCTAATTGGGAACCGTTTAAATATTAAAATATAGTTTTTTTTAAACAAAAAAGATAATTTAATCGATAGGTCACATGTGGCAGGGTAAAGTGTGGGTACTCTCACCTCTGCCAAGATGTCTTGCTGTGTGGAAGAGTAGGCCAATACCTTCTAGAGGGGCCCTCTAGTGGAAGCGTTATTCCCATAAGTGGTGTAAGCAGGACATTGCAGGGCTGCAACTGACCTTTTCGTAAAAAGAAAACAACAACAATAATGCATTTGAGCCTACATTGTTGTGTAAAACATACAAGTAAGCGGATTCAGTAAACGTAAGACATAACACAAATCTTCATCAATGTGATTTTAGTAATTTTAATGACACTGATTTTCAGATCTCCTGGAAAAATCTCGAGTAACATTCCAGCTTCCAACGGAAAGGAACTACCACATTTTCTATCAAATTGAATCTCAAAAGAAGCCAGAGCTTCTGGGTAAGTTTTCACGAGAGGTTTGCTTTTTTATTAGATTTTCATGGTAAAAAAAAAGCGTACTCATCTTTTGAAGTTTCAGTTTTTGTCAAGACACACCCTTACGGTATCACTCACCTTGATAGGTTTTTTTTGCATTTGAAGCATGGATCGCAGTTTGTTTTGCCTATCTTACAACTGAATTTTCTCCGCATTTTTATATCGTTCCTCACAGAAATGCTGCTCATTACCAACAACCCCTACGACTATGTTTTCATCAGCCAGGGTGAAATCACCGTGCCGTCCATCGATGATGGAGACGAATTAATGGCCACTGACGTGAGTCTTGTCACCTAAATCATGAATTAACGTCGGTTACATCATTAGACCTCTTTTGCCAGTACCAAAATATAATAAGAAGGTTTTCCCCCTTTTTTCCCCTTTGTTTTCCTTTTTTCTGGCAACAAAACTGAAACCTTTTTCCAAGGATTCATGTCACTGCATTAACCACAATACCGTCCCTTGGTGTGGACCAATCAGTTTCAAGGACAATGCCACATATATTATCATAGTATGTTTTTTGTTTGCATTTTGACTGCAGGTATTGTGGTTAATGCAGACATGAATCCTTGTAAAAAGGTTTAAGTTTTGTTGCCAGAAAAAAGGGGAAAACCCTATTATTATTATTATAACGTTGGTTACATTTTTCATCTTCCCATAGTGGAGCTAGGCTTTGACTTTTGGGTATGGCCGGAGCAGCGCATTGGCGGACTGCATTGCCAATCCCATGTACAACTTCTCCCACAATATCGCCTGCATTGCAACGTTGATTCTCAATGGTTATGGAAGATAACTTTGCTGCACTTTGTTGATTTCATTTGTTCAGCGTTTATTGGTGTAACGACAATAATGAAAGCTTAGCTTGATTTACACTGCTTTGTCATTGCTCACCCTCAGCACAGATTTGCCCTGGATGTTTGATCTCTATAGCAAAACATATGGTTGGTTTTCAGGATATCGTGGACCTTAATTATTATTGTTTTATTTCCACTGTTCTTGCGTTCGAAGAATAGTAAAAACCATTGGTCCTAATATATATGTACACACATGTACAGAGTACAAGCAGCGGTGTTGTGTTACATTTAAACATCCTAATTATATTCTTGTTTTTCTTTTCTTCCACGTACAGAGCGCCATCGACATCCTGGGCTTCACCAACGATGAGAAATTGAGCATCTACAAAGTGACCGGTGCCCTCATGCACTACGGCAACATGAAGTTCAAGCAGAAACAGCGGGAGGAGCAGGCGGAGCCTGACGGCAATGAGGGTACAGCGAACTTCCAAGTCCAGAAATTACAATTTCCATTTCTCCCCCAATTACCACCGGCTCTGTCTTCCTGTCCCCTAATTGCATATAATTTGGATACGTGATGCACGAATGGAGAATTAAAAACTCTCCAGTAGTAGCGTGCGACTGTGGTCATCCACAGCGGAGACCGTGCAGCGTAGAACGGTGCAACGTCCGATCCACAAACACGGAGGAGACACCACAGCGATAATTCACTCCTCCGCCACTGCTCCTGATGCGGTTAGCTGGGCTTGACCACCTGAATCTGAACTTGTAGTCGCTGCTCTGCATCTACATCAGCAGCCGTACGAAAGAAGTAGGAATAAGATATAATTTCGGCGGCGCAGTGGCATGGAGGCACCACTCGTGCCCCAGAGCAAGGCGTACCTGGGTTCGATTCCCTGACACCTTTCTGTGTGGAGTTTGTATGTTCTCTCTCCCCCACTGCTGAATGGAATTCCTCCACGTTCTCCCGTTTCCTCCCATAGCTAAAAAAAAATACACACACAATATAACTGATATTAGCCCAAAATATCTCGATGCTAAAATAATCACTTAATTTGGATTACGCGTATCAACATCGCCCCCTACTCTGAAAACTTGGCAGGAAAATTCTGAAAAAGAGTTTTGAGACTCAGTGAGGCTTTCTCGGGTAAACAAGCGAAGTAATACTCGTCTGTACAGCATTATTCCTTTAGTTATTTCTCCCCTATTTACTAAATCATTTTGGATATATATTACAAAGCATCCCTCATATATGTCATAATCCTGCAAATAATCACGTGAAGCTCAGCACCTGGTTGTGGAATATTAAGGTAGGCTTAAATTTAGCCACTGTATGAACACAAATCAACAATTTTCTTTTTTTAACGCAAAGGCATTGATCCACGTGTTGTTGTTGTTGTTGTTTCAGATGCTGACAAAGCGGCCTATCTCATGGGCCTCAACTCCGCAGATCTCCTCAAAGGCCTCTGCTACCCCAGAGTCAAAGTCGGCAACGAATACGTGACCAAAGGTCAAACTGTCCAGCAGGTACTGTGTGACATTATACGCCGTCCTATTCCGGGCAGCGGTGGCTAGACATATTGGTGTGGGCACAAAAAGCCTCTTGGGGATGGGGGGAAATGGCGAGTGGAGTGGGAGGGTGTATGTAGGTTAAAATCTTTATCGTTATTAGCAGCTAAGTATTATTAGGGTTTCAACCTTGCTTCACTCGTGGGGCATAGCCTCACCAGCCCCTAAGTATGAAGCGTCACTGATTATGGACTTGTGAATTAAGCTATATTTTGCGGTGTATCAGTTTTATGTCCTACTTGATGTAGTTGCATTATTAATATTATTAGTGACTGGTTTCGTACTGCACACTTGTAAGCCACCGCTTTGGAGGCAGGGTTGATAGAGGTTATCTGAAGTATCTATCCAAGCAGATACAGGGTTGATAGATGCACGGAGGTTACCTGAAATATATACACTTTTGTAAAAAAATATAGTTGTAGCTACTTCAAATTACTGCATGTGTGACGATAAAACATAAATTGCCAAAAACCCTCGTGAGACTCGTTGAATCTTTCACGGACGGGACAAAAAAGAGTCAAAGATAAAAAAAAAGTTGAAGGCAATTTTGCTCGTTGACGGAAAACTTTCCTCCTCTGCGCAGGTGCACAACTCAGTGGGTGCCCTGGCGAGATCCGTGTTTGAGAAGATGTTCCTCTGGATGGTCATCCGCATCAACGAGACCCTTGCCACCAAACTCGCGAGGCAACACTTCATCGGTGTGCTGGACATTGCCGGCTTCGAAATTTTCGACGTGAGTGCGGTCTGCATTTTTAACCCCGCACGTACAGTGTGACGTTTTTAATCCGCGTCTGGTGAAATATGGAATTGAAATCGCTCTCTCGAGCGCTTAGCATAATTGGATTAATACAAAAAACTACAAAGAAGATAAACCATATTGCTCTGCGTGCCAAACGCCTCTCTGTCCTCTCAACACAGTTCAACACCTTCGAGCAGCTGTGCATCAACTTCACCAACGAGAAGCTGCAGCAGTTCTTCAACCACCACATGTTCGTGCTGGAGCAAGAGGAGTACAAGAAGGAGGGCATCGACTGGGTCTTCATCGACTTCGGCATGGACCTGCAGGCTTGCATCGACCTCATCGAGAAGGTTCGAGCCCTGAATGCCATGGCGTTTTAGTGTTTTGCAACGGTCAGTGCTGTGCTGAAATTCAAAAGAGAGACACTTCGTTTGTTATAGCCACGGTTGGCGGACACCGAGGTATCATGTGCAGTCTGGCACACTGGGATGGTGCCGTTTTATAATTGTGAGCACACTGGACACTGGCAACCTAGAGATTTGGCAGCTCGATTTGAACTTCCGGCAAGGCAGTTGACACAATGGGCACATTTTTTTGTTTACATCGTCCTGCCACTGTCCACCCAGCAGTATAAATGTGGTACAACCACACTTAGTTCGGCAGGTCGATGTAGTGGGGTGAAGCGTGGGTGGCTTCCACCCCTTCCAAGATGTCGATGTGGACAGTGTGGAAGAATTGGATAAAATATCACAGAGAGAAGTATTCTAGAGCTCCTCCAGTGGAGCCATTTCTGACAGCAGTCACGTGAGCAAATTGCAGCGATGCACCTTTACCGTTTACGTTGCGTTCACCCATCACAGACCTCTGGTCTCTGTTGCCGATCCTCTTAATTTTCACGCCCATTGCGTGACAAAGCCTGTACATGTGACGATACTTAAAATTCTCATCGTATTGTTTCAGCCCATGGGCATCATGTCCATCCTCGAGGAGCAGTGCATGTTCCCCAAAGCCAACGATCAGACCTTCAAGGAGAAGCTGTACGACCAGCACCTCGGCAAGAACCAATTCTTCCAGAAGCCCAAGCCGTCGAAGGGGAAACACGAGGCTCACTTCTCCCTCGGCCACTACGCCGGCAACGTGGACTACAACATCTCTGGCTGGCTGGAGAAGAACAAGGATCCACTGAACGACTCTGTGGTGCAGCTCTACCAGAAGTCATCGTTGAAGATGCTGGCAGCTGTTTACGCGACCTATGCTGGTGCTGATAGCGGTAAGGATTTCACATGCGAAGTAGATACATGAATGTCTTAGAGGTTCTAAACATTTCTGTAGGTGCATTTTTTTGTAATGCCTAATTGTAAGACATTGTCCACTGCCCGTATTCTTAAAGAGCCACTTTACAACATCATTTAAAAAAAAAATCTCATGCTTTCATTCGAAGCCCCCTTTTTTGTCAATCCACTGCTGGACGACGGCCTCCTCACCCCCCCCCGCAGGTCTTGGGGTTTATTTGACCATACTTCAGCACAGATGCTGGGAGCATCTGTGCTGAAGAGCACCAGCGGATTTTGCTGCAGTGCCTCCTGACGACGATGTCGCCTTGCAGCAGCCCGCAATGGCAGCTTTGTGCAGGGTGGTCACCCCTCCAAGCACTAGTCCAGACTTACATCTGCTTAGCTTGCAAGGTCTGATGAGATCAGGCATATTTTGGGTGATTTGGTTACAGGTTTGCTTTGATTCGGTATGCTTTTGGAAGTGGTGATAAGCTATATTTCCGGTCCATGGAATTAGTTAAAAAAGAAATCATTTTCACAGCGTGTTTCCTAAAAACGTACATTACAGTTGTTATGACCCTTCACGGTGAACACGCAAAACGCATTTCTTTCATACGGAATCACATCGAGCTTCGCCTCTGGACAAACGCGTGGTGTTTTTTTGGAGCACGTTAAGCTCAACGCGTTTACCCCCCCACCCCTCCCCGTTCTGTTTCCGTCGCTCGTTTGTGTAGACAGCGGCAGTAAGGGTGGTAAAAAGAAGAAGGGCTCCTCCTTCCAGACCGTGTCTGCCCTCCACAGGGTAAAGCGACACGGACCTATGACACTTCACGTTGGCTCCACGTCAGCTTTTTACAAAAACCTGCGCGGGTATTGCCGCCGACTGGACGCTGCATTCGTCTTGCCGGGAGAAATATTAAATTTGCATCCGTTCGTTATTTGTCGTTCGCAGGAGAATCTGAACAAGCTGATGACCAACCTGAAGACAACTCACCCCCACTTTGTGCGTTGCATCATCCCCAATGAGACCAAGACCCCCGGTTTGTTTTGCAATGCCCACGCTGACAATTCCTACACGCAGCAATGCTTAAAATGCATTTTTGAATCGGTACAAGCAGCAAAGGAAAACTCAATATTTAAATAACCCATGCAGCATTTTCACTTGAGGTATTCTGATGTTGTCCATAACATTAGAAAAAGAACGGATATTATTGACCACATGTTGGGGTTCTCCCTTCGCTTTCACTGTACAGGGGTTTACAACAGTGCCGCCTGTGGTTTGTGTAGTGCAGATGTGGCCAGGAGCATGCGTGTGGGACGCAGAATCAGAATCTTAGTTTAGACTTGGGGAATCCGATGAGCTGTAAAGCTCTTTGTCACACATGTCCCTTAATCAAGCAGGCAAGGGCACACAGCTACTGCTGTGAGTGTCGTGGGTTGAGCCGCAGCACCCACAACACGTTTCAGATTTTGGCTAAGAAACACCGACAATTTTTTGACAAAACTAATGGTATTTTTTTTGTCTGGATTTTTCCTTCAACAAGGGGACACATGCTGACTGATTATCCTGATGACAGAACTGACAGTCAGTTTAGTGCTGTTGCATAGATTCAATATAATTGTGGTACAGCCGTTTAGTTTGGTTAAACGTATGTATTAAAAAGGTTTTGGCCAAAAAATATATTCAAATCTGTAAATGACGGGAAAACCCATAACAACAGAAAAAGCGCAGTCCGGAAAACTAAAGGTTTCAACAACGCACAAACACATGCACTTTGTGTATAACAAAAGTACCTTTCAAGTATTATGCAAAAGCACTTGTGCCTTAGGAATTGCATTGTGGTCATTTGGTCTAAAGTCACCATCGGTAAATTTAGCAAATGTGACTCACCAACAGGCAGCGGTGAGACAAATGCAGCTGCAGACCGGTTTCGTTATTATTAGGACTCATCAGTACAGCCACCAAGACTCACCGAATCCAAACCTGCCTCTGTGAAACCTCATATCTGTAGAGACCCGACATGCACACTGCGGGGGAAATTTTAGACCAAAACGTCGGCACACGAAAACCTACTCTCCTTCCAATGACATCAGGCATCCTTCACGTCTGCTGTGAACCAGATGGCACGGACATTATAGCAAATACACCCGCGGCATTAAGCAGGGCGGCCTGCCGGATCCGATCCACCGAGTCTCTGCAGCAAGCGGCGAACTCGCTGCCGCTGGGACGTGCCGCCGCCGGAGAGATTGAGTCTGTAATGTCACCGGTAACCAACGGGGGAGCAACCGCTGGGGTAAGCTGTCTCCAACTACCGATGTGTGGCTGCATCCCCGGTGAGGGTTATTGACCTGTCATGCGTTCCATCTCCAGGTACCATGGACAACAACCTCGTGATGCACCAGCTGCGTTGTAACGGCGTGCTGGAGGGCATCAGGATCTGCAGGAAGGGCTTCCCCAACAGGATCGTCTACGGTGACTTCAAGCAGCGGTGAGTGCAGATAGACGTGTGACGTCGTTGTAAACTCGACCGCCGTAGCCTTTGGCGATACGAAGGTCACAATACGTAAAGGCCCCTCTAGATATTGTCACCGTTATTGTCACTGGCAAACTACGATGGAGCTAAAGCCACGGCATACCTGAAGGAGAGGCTGCAATTAAGGTGAAACTGATAGAAGTCCACTCATATCCTCCATTAGAAACGGTCGCTTTTGTACACGACTGAAGCTATTGAAGGCCCAGCAGTCTACTATTATTTATTTTCAATAAATTATTTATTATTATTTTTACCCACTTATCACGAATGTGCTGTCAGCATCATGTCATAAGATAGAGAACCCCATTGTACATTTGCAGTACGTGGTGTTGTTTCATAGTCACTGTGCCAATGATATTCAAAGCTAATTCCAACAGATTCATTTTGTTAACATGTAATCACTTGCAGAATCATAGACCACCCCCCATCAGCAGAACATCTCTTCTCCAATGTATTCTGGTTTCAAGAGGTTTTACTGCAGTCGTTAATGACAGGCTGCATCTCACTACACCTGAGAACCCCGTATAATCATGGCTGACTCACTCGATTAGAATCTGTAAGTTGTTGCTCTGCATCTACATCAGCCAGGATCCGAGCGCTACAACTACAACCTCCGAAACACCCAGTCACCTCCAGCAGTCTGTCGTTAAAGTCTGTGCCATGCAAACCGCGATCGTTAGCGTCACACGTGACCTCGCGTGCTCTCTCGTGCCTCGTAGGTACCGCGTGCTGAACCCCAATGCCATTCCGGAGGGGCAGTTCATGGACAGCAAGAAGGCCTGCGAGAAACTCATGGCCTCCCTGGAGCTCGATGACACTCAGTACAAGTTCGGACACACCAAGGTATGCAAGGCCAATCCTTGTGTAGTTTCTGCCGTTGTGTGTCTCATGTAGATTATACTCTAATCCGGTTGTGAATATAATCCCAGGGTTCTTTTAGGGTGTATAGAATCAGAATATTAATTTATACTGCAGGAATCCGATGAGCTATATAGCTCTTTTTTACAGATGGCCAATAGGTCACAGTGAAGCTCTCATAAATTAGAACGATTGCAAGATATAACAAAAATTACTTGGTCACAAACATGAATCACTAACATTGGAAAACCACACAGCTATCACCGCCTCCCCCCTCTTACTGCAAAAGAAAAATTATAGCAAGAAACCTCCTGAAATGGAGATTTATCAGGCTCAATGAAGCATTCCTGGTTAGACAATCGTATTCTCCAGCATATTTTCAGTTTTGCCGTTCAGGCCGATACTCACCAACTCACCAATGCCGTGTCTCCCAGGTGTTCTTCCGCGCCGGTCTCCTGGGTACCCTGGAGGAGATGAGGGACGACCGCCTGTCTCTCCTGCTCACGCGCACCCAGGCCCTCGCTCGTGGCTACCTGAGCCGCGTAGAGTTCAAGAAGATGTTGGAGAGACGGTAAATATGATGTTGTTTATTATTACTGAATGTCTTTTTTTTTACACAACAACAACAATAACAACAGCCATTCGCCACTAAGTGGCGGCGACGACACCATGGCACTTGTGCCAGGCTATGTGCACGTTGAGGCACACACACAGACACATACACACATTCAACAGCAAGCCACTCTCTTATATAATAATTGATGTAACTATGGACAATGTCACGTCATCTTTGTGGTTCGTTGCGTCTTCCTACAGCGAGTCTCTGATCATCATCCAGTACAACATCAGAGCCTTCATGGGTGTCAAGAACTGGCCGTGGATGAACCTGTACTTCAAGATCAAGCCTCTGCTCAAGTCCGCCGAATCCGAGAAGGAAATGGCGAACATGAAGGAGGAGTTCATCAAGACCAAGGAGGCCCTTGAGAAGTCAGAGGCCCGGCGTAAGGAGCTGGAGGAGAAGATGATCTCCGTTGTGCAGGATAAGAATGACTTGCTCATCCAAGTCCAGAGTGTAAGTTCGCACTCATTACTGTTGGTTAAGCCACCTGAGTGCGATGTGAATACACCGAAATGTGACTCTTGCAGAGTTTGATGTTTAAAATCAAGTATTACAATAACATGAAATGCCTCGATTTAGATATGTTTTGTCGTTGTTGTTGTGTTTTCATAATCATGAACCTTAAGGATATATTAATATTCCTGTAATCTAAAGTCTGCTACAGTCTGCTGTTATAATTTACCATACAGTCACAAAACCAAGAGTGTTGAGTTATGTTTGCCATCTCTACGTCTTGTCCAAAAATGTAAACGTTGACGTGCTGCGTGCCACGTCAAATCAAATCAATCCCTTTTCTTGACGCAGAGCGAGGAGACCCTGAATGACGCGGAGGAGAGGTGTGACCAGCTGATCAAGACCAAAATCCAGCTGGAAGGCAAGATCAAAGAAATTCAAGAGCGAGTCGAAGAGGAGGAGGAAATGAACGCTGAGATTACTGCCAAGAAGAGGAAGCTCGAGGACGAATGTTCCGAACTGAAAAAGGACATTGACGACCTCGAGCTGACGCTCGCTAAGGTCGAGAAAGAAAAACACGCGACCGAGAACAAGGTGAGTGCGCCGCGTTCGCAGATCGTCCAACGTGTTAAGCACAACGTGACCTCGAGACAACGGCCAAAAATGAAATGCAATCAAATCGATCGGCTGAAAGTGGCTTGTCCTCTAAATGCACCTTTGTCCATTTTTACTCTCCTCTCTCCAGGTGAAAAACCTGACCGAGGAGATGGCCGTGCTGGACGAGAACGTATCCAAGCTGACGAAGGAGAAGAAGGCCCTGCAGGAGGCTCACCAGCAGACGCTGGACGACCTCCAGGCGGAGGAGGACAAAGTCAACTCCCTCACCAAGGCCAAGGCTAAGCTTGAGCAGCAAGTGGATGATGTAAGATCTCAATTTGTTATCGTTTTAGGCGGGGGGGGGTGTGTGTCTGTGGTACAGCATTGACCAATGACACGAGCAGAAGCACTCGTACCACGTTAGGTTTTAGCAATGCCCTAGAAGGGGAAAAAAACCCCCAATATAACGGCATCCCTCAAGATGCGCGTGATCATCTCCCAAGGTGTGATCAACACAGAGGGACCGAACCTGAAACGAGCCGCGCTTGGGCAATGCCACGGAGGGCGTGGGAACCCAGTCCAGTGCAGTGCGAACAGCACACGGTGCAAGACCGATTTTCCCTTTAACAACGCACACCTTAGAGATAAAAAAACGTCAATGCGAATTTAACGTAACGTATATCGAATTCCTTCCCCTATTCATAAGTCACGGTTTTAGGAAAATTCCGTACATCGAGTTGCCTTCAAATGAGGGATAACTGTATAATAGGCAATGTTCATTGCAGAGAGATGGTCATGCATGGCTTGCAGTTTTAGAAATGCAAGTGTTAGAAATGCAAGTGTTCGTTCGCGATGCTCTTAACGACAATGTTGCGCCTTCCACGCCCTCCCCTTGACGCGTTCAGCTTGAGGGCTCGTTGGAGCAAGAGAAGAAGGTCCGCATGGACGTCGAAAGAACCAAGAGAAAGATGGAAGGGGACCTGAAGCTGGCTCAGGAGTCCCTCATGGACTTGGAAAACGACAAGCAGCAACTGGACGAGAAGCTGAAGAAGTACGTGCTCCTGTCGCACCTCGTCCCGCAAATAAGCACCTGCGTCACTCTCAACTTGCGAACTGCACATTGACTAACTAACGGCTGGCATGATCTCACCCTTCTTCTTCTTCTTGTCCATCAGGAAAGACTTTGAGATGAGCCAGCTGAACAGCAGGATCGAGGATGAAGTCAGCCTGTCCGCTCAACTGCAGAAGAAGATCAAGGAACTGCAGGTGGATTAAGCGAGCGTGCCGGCACAATGGTTAATGAGTTTGCACGAACGTCGTGTGTTTCTTGAAGTTTGTTTTTCCGGGAAAAATAGCTTGCCGCGGTTTTGTGTTTTGTTGAGCTGCAATGGTAACGCCGGTCTTCTGCCGCAGGCGCGCATCGAGGAGCTGGAGGAGGAGATCGAGGCCGAGCGTGCCGCTCGCGCCAAGGTGGAGAAGCAGAGGTCCGACCTCTCTCGGGAGCTCGAAGAGATCAGCGAGAGGCTGGAGGAGGCCGGCGGAGCCACCTCGGCTCAGATCGAGATGAACAAGAAGAGGGAGGCCGAGTTCCAGAAGCTCAGGAGGGACCTGGAGGAGGCCACCCTGCAGCACGAAGCCACGGCCGCCGCCTTGAGGAAGAAGCAGGCCGACTCCGTGGCCGAGCTCGGGGAGCAGATTGACAACCTGCAGCGGGTGAAGCAGAAGCTGGAGAAGGAGAAGAGCGAGTTCAAGATGGAAGTCGACGACCTCAGCAGCAACTTGGAACAAGTCACAAAAGCCAAGGTAACCTTTTAAAATACAAACTTCATGAACAGGTAACACTGAGGTCCTAAGTTAGAATGCAGGTGATTGCGAACCGGGTTCTCAAGTCTAGTGAGTTGATGGTCTCAACCCAGTTATTAATGGCTGCACACAGAAAAACCATGATATCAAATTTGGTTCTGAACTTGAATTTGGAATAATTCTAACTCTGATGTGTTGAACCTAACAATGACGTTTACGTGCCTTTTAATGCGCAGGTCAATCTTGAAAAGCTCTGCAGGACAATTGAAGACCAGCTTGCTGAAGTGAAGACCAAGGAAGAGGAACAAATTCGTTCCATTAATGATATTAACACTCAGAGGGCTCGGCTGCTGGCGGAAAACGGTATGCACATTTTTTCCCCTCTGTCTAAAGGCAGCTTCTTGGCTCAAGCCTTCTCCTTGGAGTCCAACATCATCCTTCCTCTTCCGTTCACGAATATTCCTTTCCATTGTTCAAGTCGACCTGTAGCCCCCTCTTTTTTTGTCTCTAGTTATTTTACCCAGCATCCTCCACTCTAGAGCTTCCTTCAGCAAGGCTTTCCTGTCTGACAATGTGCCCCGTCAAGTCTACGCCGCCTTCCATTAAAAGTCATGGATCAGATCTCCTCCTTCCTGAACCTGTTAAAGTACCCACTCATTCGTTTTCCTTTGCCCTCCAGCTGATTTTGTTTCAATTTCACACTCTACCCACATTTCAAAACTCAGTTTACAGATATATTCGTTTGCGCATTGTTTGGCTTTATGCACGGAACGCCAACACTGCGTACCGTAGTAATCTCATAACGTTGATGAAAAAGGCAATTACGTTTTTTTTAGTTGCCAGCACTCGTAGAAATTTTGCGACGACAATGCCAAACACGGCGCGTGAAAAAAAAAAGATTGGCCTCGCAAGTTTGCGTTTGTGCATTTTATCACAGGCGAGCTTTCAAGAAAATTGGAAGAGAAGGAAGTTCTTGTGGTGCAGCTTTCCCGAGGGAAGCTGTCCTACACACAGCAGGTGGAAGACCTCAAGAGGCAACTCGAGGAGGAGATTAAGGTGCGTGAAAAAGCTGCCTCTCGGGCAAGGGGATGTTTAATATATATTTATATATATTTTTTGCTGTTTTTTTTTCCCATGGATTTTCTGTTTGCAAAGTCACGTAGTCACTTTAAGATGTTTTTCTTGCTCGTGTTTTTGTTTTTTTGTTTGTTGGTGGTTGCACCCTATTCAAGAGCCGGATGGCTCACAGGGCTATAAAAAATGAACTAAACTGAACTAATACGCGCGTTTTCTCTTGAAGAAACTTTATATGTAATGCAAGGTAAAAGGTGCAGCCCTGTCATTTCTTACTCGTGCCACTGGCCGGCAGAAGGACCTCTAAAGAGAGAGAGAGCTCTAGTGGGTATGTGGCCTACACTGATCAGACATCTTGGGGTAGATGGGAGTACCCACAACCGTACCCACACTTGCACTGCTGTAGGTACAGATGAACGTTTAAACTTGTTTCGCACAGTACGTATAGCTAACTGCGCTAATCGGGGTGAATAGAGGCCGGGGAAATTTTACGATGCTTGCCCCATTTTGTCAACTGCCGCGCCTGGACATTGAACCGGACGGTGACCTCCCGAGCACAAGTCCAGCGTTGCTCACAGCTACAATAGTAGCAGCAAATATTACGTCAACGAAAAAACAAAGAACAGGTGCTGGCATCAAAGACAAAATACTGCAGCGGCAGCGTAAGCATAGTGTCTGCCTTCGATGAGAGAAATGGGTGCGCAGAGCTGACATTTGAATTTCAACGCTTCGACACGGATCGACGCGGTAAGAGGCGAGCACTGGCGTTGACCCGGACAACGCTGCAGTCGCGTTGCCATTGCTGCCCTACGGAGCGAGCTCACGAGCGGCGTCTCTGTGACCGTGCAGGCCAAGAACGCCCTGGCCCACGCCGTGCAGTCGGCGAGGCACGACTGCGACCTCCTCCGCGAGCAGTTCGACGAGGAGCAGGAGGCCAAGGGCGAGTTGCAGAGGGCCATGTCCAAGGCCAACGCCGAGGTGGCCCAG